CATATAACGTTTTAAGCTTTTTTTAGGCGCATCGCTTCTCTGAAGATAAGATAATTATCTTTCAAAAGCTGTTTATTTACATAGACCGTGGCGCTTGAGTCGACGCCCATCATATGCAAGTTCTGTTGTTGTTTGTTCTCTCTCGGACGGTGTCTAATTTAATTAATACAACCGGGTCAACGATCGAGTTTTGTTGTTTCCGCGCTCGATAAATGCCCCGAATTCTCGGCGGCGGAGTGAGTTTTAGTGAAAAACGTAAGTCGCATGCATTATTTGCTATGTGCTGAGCGGATATTTTCGTCTCCAACCCCCTAACTCTCGCCCGCAGTGTACGCCGCTCACCAACCTCGCGTTCCAGATGATCCATTCGTTCACGCAGCTGTTCTCGATGGGAGCGCAGATCGGCCACCTCCATCTCCAGGTTGGTGACCCGTTCAACCGACCGCTTGATCTCCTCAGATCAGGTCCACACGTTTGGAAAGGCCATCGATGATCCGCTGCTCAGCTTCTCTCACGCAAGTAACGGGACAAGAGGTATTTCGCTGCAATTTCAAGCAGAGTTGCTTCCAAGCAAGCTACAACGCCAAGTTTGGACCGTCATTTGTAAAAGCCCGTACTAGGACAAAAATAGGTAACTCTTACTACGAGCCTAAAGACTTACAAGCGAGGGGGTTTTGTAACGGCACCTGAAGCGACTTCTGTTAGAATTAATTAATTAGAATAAAATAGTTCAAGCGGGGATTATCTTAGTTAGTTAACAACTGTTCCAGAATTCGAAACAGCTGTTTCAGAGATGCAGTGAAAAGCTCGACTCTGGCTCCTGTCATAAGCATCTGCCACAGACTGCCGCCCATACCATAACCACACATATCCAAAATCCGGTAGAGTTCTTCTCTTTTCGACCGCCGTGATAGCCAGACGTACAATCCTTCCGCCTTTTCTATCCGCTTTTTGAAAAGTTGTAATCACAGTGAACATAATGCAAATTGGCCAAAATATCAGTCGCAAGTGCAGCAGATAATACATTTTTTTGTGTTGCGGGTTACAAAAACTCTGATGTAAGTGAAAACTCACAAAAAACTCTGGAATTTTCCATTTTAACCGCAACATAATCTCTAGATTTATTTCCTACGGGTCACGATTGGCGTAAAACCACGTTTAAGCCCAATCTTACTGCCGCCGCTAAGAAGTGCCCTCTGGGGCTTTTAAATTGGAATACTTTGCTGGAAACGACATTTGGAAAATTCCAGATCACCTTTACAGTACTGCGGGGCATGATCAGCAGGTAGATGAACATTATTTATTATATACCCGTTACTCGTGGAGTAAAAGGGTATATTGTATTTGTGCAAAAGTTTGTAACAGCTATAAGGAAGCGTTTCCGACCCCATAAAGTATATATGGGCACTTCCAAAAAAAAGTCCACCATGCCAAAAACCTTGAAACTTGAATAAAACATATTTCCACATGATTTTGCCCCGATATTAGTTTCTAATTAGTTGGATACTGAGCTTAACTACAAATTTGGAGTATAGTTTGATTATTTTTATGACAAACCCCACCAATATACGCAAAAATCTGTTTTTGGCTATTTTTTTGTTATTTTGTGGACCTGTCTTCTGTTGTAAATTTTTCCTATAGGAATGCTAATATGTGACATTTTTCTGTACTGAATGCTTCATTCACATGCTAAACTATTAAATTAAAAGCAAAACATCCAGCAATTGAGAGACAGAGGTAAAGAAATCCGCTTTACAAAACAGTCGGAAAAAATGTCCCGAGCGACATGTCCCGAGCGAATGTGGTTGAAACTGCATAAAAAAAAAAACGGCAAAGAATTTTTGAGTAAAACCAAAAGCATTTCACAGCGACATGTTTGAACAACATTCTAAAAAAAATCGCATTCAAATATTCCATTAGAATTTGCTAATTTCTGCTGTTGTATGAACTTCCCCGAAATCTACTTCTATTTTTGTCCCGAGCGAATACGGCAGTTTTTTACCGATATCTTAAAAACTAAAATTGGTACAAAATCAAGATTTTTACCAAAAATAGAGCTTGGGAAGAGTGAAAAGAAAAGCCCATAATTTAAATTAAAATCCATTGTTTTACAATTTTTTTTCAACTTTAAAGGTGTGCAAATGTCCCGAGCGACATTTTGGAAGTGCCCATATATTCTTGATCAGGGTCACTAGCCGAGTCGATCTAGCCATGTCCGTCTGTCTGTCCGTATGAACGCTGAGATCTCGGAAACTACAAAAGCTAGAAGGTTAAGATTTTCTACACATATTCTTGGGCCTCCTACGCAGCGCAAGTTTATTTCAGCCTAGCGGCACGCCCCCTCTAACGCCCACAATCGCCCACTAACGATTTTAAAGTGTGTCCTGCTCCCACATCTTTAAAGATTTCAGAGAAGTATAAATGCAATTTTATTGTGTATATTTATACCTATCGAAATGTAGAAGACATTTTTCAAATCGGACCATTCATTAAAAAGTTATACGCAATCAAAATTGTTTATATATCTATCTCTCTCGCACTTCCTTTAGCTGAGGTTCGATTATTAGATAGTAGGGACACCAACCCGAGTACAGCGCTCGCACTCCCTTTAGCTGAGTGACGGGTATTAGATAGTCGGGACACCAACCCGACTATAGCGTTCTCTCTTGTTTCTTCTAGATTGTGCCCCACATCAATATTGGCGTTTAAATAAGCAAGATCTAAGACCGACATAACCTACAAGCAAAGGAATCACGTGGCATGGCAGACTAGACATTATTTTTATACCCTTGCGAGGGTATTATAATTTCAGTCAGATGTTTGCAACGCAGTAAAGGAGACGTTTTCGACCACATAAAGTATACATATTCTTGATCAGCATCAATAGCCGAGTCCATCTAGCCATGTCCGTCTGTCCGTTTCTATACGAACTAGTCCCTCAGTTTTAAAGCTATCGAGATGAAATTTTCCCAACAGTCTATTTTCTATTGTAGGTAGTACATATGTCGGAACGAGCCGGATCGTTTTAAGTAGGCATACCTGCAAGGGTATATAAACTTCGGCTGGCCACCTTAGAAGGGCCGCGATTGTTAAAAGAGATAGGCGACCAAGTTTGCCTATTACAGTCACCTGCCCGGGAGATCGATCTTTCGCCGCTGGAATGCCTACAAAATCAGTGTGTTTTAACCTTACATTTATCCTTGCCAAATATATATTCAAAATATCTCACACTTAAACAAATACTCTTGATTAAAAATTGAAATAAATAAATCCTATGTGAACTAAAGTGAATTAGAGAAGAACCAATTGCCGATCGCGACGTCTTATGAAGAAAAAAATTAATTAAGTAGAATTCGACTGGAAAGAAAAAAACATACTGAAATTATATGTAGATTTGATTGATCAAAATACTAGTCCCAATGAAAAAAACTTGCGGATATTACAAAACCATAATTATTGAATTTCGAATTTAGAATTTATTATTATCCTTACTTTATATTCCTAATCTATTAGTTTTACATTATATACATTTTTTATTTATTGCCTTAACTACCATTTAATCTTGAATTGCCTCTGTTAAAAAATTGCATAAGGGCAGCCGCACTATATGCCGATTGTTTTGGAAATCTCGCCTTTTTTCTGTCGTAAGCATATTTAAAACTTGTCTTAAATATAATAAAAAATAATAATTTCAGAAATGGTTTTCTTAAACCTAGGAAAAAAAAACCATAAAAACTGAATTTTGTGAAAAACTTTTTTTAATTTAATATTTTTTTAAATTAATTGTGATTTTTTCTTGTGTGCTCTCCAAATTTTTTCTTAAATTAATAGCGATTTCGCCATTATATTATCTACTTTAACTTTTTTCACGGTCTTGGGCGTTATAAAAACTTTAATTTTTATAGTTTTAAAGAAAATCGTAGAAAGGCTACATAAATAATGCACAAATTTTATAATCCGAACCGCAATACAAGTACTTAAAAAAATTAGAAAAAGATGAGCAAAGCGCCGCAGCATTGTTTGCTAACCTTGGACCGCAATTTCCTGAACTTTACTTCTATAATATTCTGATAAGTTATACATATTCTGGTCATCCGTGGTCATTCGAGTTCTTAAGGAATCACTGTCCACCGAAGATATTTAATTGGCGGTTGTCGGGTCTGGCCTGCCGTTTAAAAACGGCGGAATTATGTCGGCAGAATTAAGTCGTCACCCCCCAAAAAACAATGCTTTTAATAATCCATCGAGGGTAATTTTTTTGCGATTTTTGGGGCACAGGCACTTTTGCTAGACTATTACCGTGAATTTCAATGATCGCAAATAATATATTCATGCTATTCAAGTGTGTCACAGAAACCAGCGACGGACTTGGGGACGGTTGGTTTGGAAACCAACCCATCAAAACCGTAAATTTGCTCTGAGTTTAGGAACATTTGCTTCAAGGCCTTGGTTGGTTTAAAATTGTGTACTTGACTTTCAAACGGTTTCTGTGACCCCGAGATTTGCTATTCTCCCCCGTCTGTCCGACTGTCCACGTGAACGCTGGGATCTAGATCTGGAGAGTTGCGGTTTTAAATTTAGATTTCTTAGCGCAAGTTTATCATGCCATTATGCCACGCCCACTCTAACACCCACAAACCTCAAAAAGCTGTGGCGCCCACAGTTTCGAAGCTAGACTAAAAATGTAAAATCAAATGTATTTGATTCCTCAATTCCTACCGTTTGACCTAAATAAAAATTTGCCCACTCTAACGCTCGCAAACGCCCTTAATGATTAGTGCTACAGAGTAAGCTGTGATTATTGTTTAAGTCTGGATTTTTCTGAGATTTAACTCCGAATTGACTGTCACGTTTCACGTGGTATAAAAAGTGTATTAAACCCCGTAAATAGAAAACTGCAGTAAAAAGTTGATTGAAAACACTGAACATGAGACGATGAATAGACTGATGCTATTATGTGTATATATGAAACTAAGAACTATTTTGTAATTGAAACTTACTTCAAAAGCGTATCGTAAACCATCCCATGGTTTTATGGGCATTTTTCCAGCCATTCGTGAACCCAATAGATCCCAATTGGTGTAGTTGTGAATATATTCAACTAGGCCGGCTGGTGTTATCTCGCGCAGACCTTCAATATTAAAATCAGCAGGAAATCCACTTAGGAAGGTAATATTGTGACCCCTGAAATTAAGGTTATTTGTTAGTCAGAGAGCTAAGTTTCCATTTTCAAAGTATGTTACATATTGACAATCAATGAATAGTCAGATTTTACCAAACCATTACTGGATTTAGATATGGATATTTATAATATAATCAAAACCAGGGACCGAAAATAACTGTTATTGTAAATTTTTCCTTCCAAAAAAATCATGCACTTAGAAGAGTCCAAAAATTTTTTGAAATACACCATTATTTTTGTAAGCCATTGTAGTTTACAAATCCGTAATGATTTTTATTTATTTGATTTTTATAATAAAAGTCAAAAATAACTGTTATTTGTTGATTTTTATGTATAACAGTTATTCTCTTGACATTTTTGAAAAAATGAAATTATTAAAAAAAAACATGCAAACCGAGTTTTATATAAATTACAAAAAATCTTAAAAAAAAGCCAACCGTGCATATTGTATAACTATATTTTTTTAAAATTTGTTTTACCCACAAAATCGCCATAAATCAAGTTTGAGTTTTATTTTTGATCACGACGAATAACGGTTATTTGACAACTTATATAATAAAACTCAAAAAATAACAGTTATTCTTTGACTTTTACTTTACAAATCAGAAAATAACTGTTAAAATGTGATTTTTAACATAAAACTCATAACAGTTAGGGTCCCTGATCAAAACAAAATGTCAGTTGCACTTGGGAAAAGGAATGGGGGCGCAAGAGAGATTTTAGGAATGCATTTTTAAAGTACATGAGACCGTTCGCGGTCGTTATGACACCAGATTTTTGGATAGTGTTATTGATTTAAGGATTGGCAGTGAGTCGGTAGTTGATATTAGATGATATAGTCTATTATAGTCATTGCAGAGTATTCTAAAAGGTTCATGCATTGCATACAATGATTTAAAACTACACCCAAAAAAAAGTAGTCATCAATATGCCCCTATTTAGGTGTCAATGTGACACTATTGAGTGGAAAAAAATCTTTGATCCGAACGTCATTAAATTGACCCTATTCTGGTGTCACTTTAATACTTTCGAAAATATTAATTTGACCCCTTTTGGTGTCAAAGAGCCACTAGCCGGTGTCATTTTCTTAGTATTAAATAAAATTTGACATTTGCTTGAAAGCTCCTGTAACCATTCTGCCATGGCAAAAATTAATATGGGAATGGCTCAGGGGCCAAGGCGCTTGGTTCTGATATTATTTTGTGCTCGGGGGAACGAGGTTCGAATCCCGCTCGCAACACCATTATTTTTTTTTTTTATCAGTAATCTAACACAACTTAACATTTTTGTTCTTAAAATGATATATATGCATTTTAAAAACTTTTTACCTACTATGATTTATCTGGGTTTCGAACCGGGGACCTCTCGCATCAGAGGCAGACGCCTTACCAACTGGGCCATCGAACCATTTTGCGCGCGAGCGAACTCTTGACAAGTATAAACAAAATCGATACTCGAGTAAAACATCGCCGAACTTCGAACTTCGAAAATCAAAAATGATAATTATTGGGATCGATGTGAACCTAGTTTTATCAAAATGACACTATTTAGTATCAAATACGATTTTTCTGAAAACGCGGTGTACTTTTGACACTCATTTGGGAGCAAATTGACCCCAAAAATTTGATCCTAGGGGCAGTGTCATTTTAACCCACAGTTATTAAATTGCACTCAGGATTTTTTTTTTGGGTGTAGATGTTGCCTGGTGTAATCAATTCAAGATCTTACTTTACAAATGTGGGCGCTAGACAGATATTAGCGTCGTAAGCAATTGTGAGCGCTAAAGGGGGCTTGGCACATTCGCATAACAAACTTGCGTTGAATGGGAAGATAAGGAATATAAATCTAAAATCCCAACTCTCTAGCTCTTCTAGTTTCCGAGATACTTTTCTCTTTTACTTAATAACTTAATAACTGGTATAAACATACATGGACATACCTGGAAATTAGACCCCTAGCCAGCTCCCAAAATGGTATTTTGTGCGATTTTGTTCCACCTTAAAATAATTTTAAAATTATTTCAATGTTGGACTCAAACATTAATTATTTGAAAACGAAACTTAAAATATTAAAGGATCAATCTTCTTACCTTGGGTCGCCATTAGGATGTCCGCTGCCAGTGTGCTGCAACTCCAGATAATCAAGGAAATTACAATTTTTCGAAACATGATGCTACAAAAAAAAATATATTATGTTTAGATGATGTTGATTCCGTAACTAAAACACCGGTTATTTTAAGCCATTTGCTTTAGTGTCAGATCAGTACTTGCACCGCAGACAAAATGTCGCTGGCCTTTATAGACTTAATTTACCAGTTGGATATTTAAGTCTCTTAATTGAGCATTTAGTGCCCGACACAAAATGATATAATGTTTAAATAATTGTTGCGATTCTGTTAAAAATCACTTTTAGTATTCCGACAGTGTCAGCGAAAAGTCAACGGGCAATAAAGTAGAATTCTACTGAAGTACAAGCAACACAGCGTTGGGTAATAACTCAAAGAGAGGTTGGCAGACGACGATTGGCCTTAAGTACCCACACTTACGACATTCTACGGCTGTACTAATATAATTGGTTCTACTCCCAGCTTGTAAAGAAATGATTATGCAAGACAAATAATTTACTTAAAGCGAAAAAATATTATTTTCTGACCTTTTTTTAGATTTTCAAATAACTCGCACATGCGCTTTTTACAAACCTAGAAGACATGGCCATGTCAAAAAAATGAAAAAACTTTGAAAATGCAAAAAGTTGTATAATTTACTTAAAAAGTTGTATAATTTAAAAATTGTTTTAACAAAAAGCTTCTTATAATAGAGTATTGGAAGTATTAAAAGCAGTTATTGGAAACCACGTTCACCCAGAAACAAATCCGTTCGAAACGGTAAAAAATCAAGCCCATAAGGAGTCAGAAAGTGGGTAAGCCCGTTTGTTGACAATTCATGAACGGTCGTTCATAAAATTTGACAAAACTTTAGGGTTAGATTCCGAACGAATGGTGTCATTTTAAGAACATTTTGGAGTTAATTTGAGAAGAAAAGTTCATAAAAAACGAAACAAAAAACATAAGATTGCTGGACTTGCATTTGATGGTTTTTCTGTGAGATAGATAGATATGCATTTTATTTTTATACCCGTTGCTCGTAGAGTAAAAGGGTATATTACTATGGACGGCAGTCAATGTAGTGACGAAGCGCATAAGGAGAGTGTGCGAAGGGGACTGTTGTGATGGTCCGATCATACAATTCCCCGAAAGGAATGTCCAACGAAAAGTCCTGCATCATTGTTTTATCAGAAATGTGCAGGATAATAACTCCTGACGATGGTCTTAGTTTTTGAACCATGTATACATGCACTTTGTAAGCAATCTGAACCTCACTGTTCCTGCTATATACAAAAAGGTTAGAATCCTGGACATTTCTTGCAAAATAATGATGCAGGACCTTTTGTTGGACATTCCTTTAGGGGAATTGCCAAAAATATCATCACATTTTGCCGATTTTACTGCTCAAAACGGGAGAAAACTGCGTCAAAAATGCCAACACCATACAAATCACCTGCAAAAGTTTTTTTGGAAAAAAAGTATAATTAAAAATGTCCTTAGACGGTCAATTCCGGATCGTTTAAATGCAGGGCAGGCACCACGAGGACCCCGCCAAAAATTAGTACAATAACTTTAGCCGTTCTCAAGCTATAGCTACAAGTCAAATAATTGTTTGCATTTTGAAAATTAATTGACAGCCGAATATTTGCAATTTTTTAGTTTTTCTGGTTTTTAGGGTGAAAAATTAAAATTTTTTTAATGCAATCGGAAAGATAATAGTTTAATAAACAACATTCCAAAAGAAAAAAATTTAAAAAAAAAAATATTTGCTTGTACCTTTTCCATCCAAAAACGAATTTCTATGCCATTTTCCCTTTTGCAAACAATTACTTGACAAACTGTATATTCTTGATCAGGGTCAAAGGTAGCCGAGTTGATATAGTCATGTCTGTCTGTCCGTCCGTATGAACGCTGAGATCTCGGAAACTACAAAAGCTAGAATGTTGGGATTACCCACACATATTCTTGGGCAGTGCAAGTTTATTTTAGCCGAGCGGCACGTCCCCTCTAACGGCCACAATCGCCACCAAACGTTTATAAAATGTGGCTAGCGCCCACATTTAAAGATTTTGGAGTAGTATAAATGTAATTTTGTTGCGTTTGTTTATACCTATGGAAGTGTAGAAGAAATTTTTCCAGTCGGACCATTCGTTAAAAAATTATGCCCGATCATAGTTTTATATATCCATCTCCCTAACGGGTATCTGATAGTCGGGGCACTGGACTATAGCGGTCTCTCTTGTTTTATTTTTTATAGTTAAACCTGATTAAACCAACAAACCTTTAAAAACACAGGGCGGCAATACTACTACTATTTTGACCGCAGCTGTATGCTTTTATGTTTTTTGACTATGTCTTCTAAAATTTGTTTCTCCCTTAATAAAAATCCTAAAATTATTCTAAGTAAGGGGCTCGAAACATAAAAAGTGTATCTTTTAAAAAAATTTAACATCGAATAAAACCATGAATCCGTTTGCCACTGAGAACTCTGGAAAGTTGGCCAATTTCAGCATTTTTCGAACTTTGAGGTCCTTTTGCTAAGAATCCTTGCGTCAGGGAACTTTTTGGAAAACGCAGTTTAACTTGGGAATTCGCAACGAATCCAAAAATATAGCATCCATCGAGGTAATTTTTTGATGCTGCATAGTGTGATCAATAGCTTGTTTTTTTTGTCGAAGCACCTTGTACAAGTAGAAGTTATAAAAATAATTTCTGTTTTTAGGGGTGTATTTTTAACAAAGCCATTTATGCCAGAATTTTTGCATTTTTTCTAACTTCTTCATTTTTGGCGAAGTTTAGCTTCTAAACTAATGAATGGAACTTAATGCAGTGTATACAAAAGTTGGAGGGCATTCTATTACCTGTAAAATGAGTATGGTTGAGTTAGAAATTACACTTGAAAAAAATTTAATCCATGCAAAAAATTTTAAGTGTCATTTTCTTAATCAGGAAGACGTACATTACCGGAAAACAAAGGTTTCCTCATGGTGTTATTATTAGTAAATGTTGTACCTTAGTTTTAGTCTGGGCTTCTATTTGTCAAAGGCGAATTGCCTGACAGCTGGATCACGGAATCAATTTTTCAAGTACTTCCAAACGGGGCACTAGATATACACGTTTTTTGGTCAATTTTTCAAGTACTTCCAAACGGGGCACTAGATATACACGTTTTTTGGTCTGGGCAAGAAATTGTTTATGAACAGCGTTCGCAATTTCATAACCATTGTTAATAATCTGACCACAATCATTCAGAGCTCAGCACTTTTAGGTGAAGCGTTCATAATTTTAACAAAAAGTTCATGATTTAATCCCGCGGCGTTCATTTTTCATGAACGAAATATATAGAACGAAATGTTCTTGCTTATTTTCGGTCTATGTTGGCTGGGTGTTGGTACTAAATTACGCAGTTTTATGAACTGGAAACGCATTAAGTATGACGAGGAAAATTTTAGTTGCTATGCTCATTAAAAATGCATTTCAATTGTTATATGTTGTTCATTTTGTAAAATTGTTATTTAATTTAACATGTGGGTCACTTGCCATGAGCATTCCAACAAACAAAGAAAATTTTGCAATAATGTCAAATTTGTGGTATTAGCCCTTTGTATTTTTTCCAAAAGCCCTCGTTACGGGAAGATGTGCATCTCGTTCCCTCCCATTAGGTACAGAGATGAACTTAATTGCACCAATTTAAACAATAAAATCGTAAAAATGCTCAACAAAAGGCGACCGTGGATTTCCGGTAAACTTTGTATCTCTGATTAAAATGGGCACCTAAAATTACACTAGTTTTTAAAAAAAATCGATGAAATACGCACTTAAGGAAACCTTTGTTATACCCGTTACTCTTAGAGTAAAAGGGTATATTGTATTCGTGCAAAAGTATGTAACAGCTAGAAGGAAGCGTTTCCGATCCCATAAAGTATATATTTTCTTGATCAGGATCACTAGCCGAGTCTGTCTGTCTGTCTGTCTGTCTGTCTGTCTGTCTGTCTGTCTGTCTGTCTGTCTGTCTGTCTGTCTGTCTGTCTGTCTGTCTGTCTGTCTGTCTGTCTGTCTGTCTGTCTGTCTGTCTGTCTGTCTGTCTGTCTGTCTGTCTGTCTGTCTGTCTGTCTGTCTGTCTGTCTGTCTGTCTGTCTGTCTGTCTGTCTGTCTGTCTGTCTGTCTGTCTGTCTGTCTGTCTGTCTGTCTGTCTGTCTGTCTGTCTGTCTGTCTGTCTGTCTGTCTGTCTGTCTGTCTGTCTGTCTGTCTGTCTGTCTGTCTGTCTGTCTGTCTGTCTGTCTGTCTGTCTGTCTGTCTGTCTGTCTGTCTGTCTGTCTGTCTGTCTGTCTGTCTGTCTGTCTGTCTGTCTGTCTGTCTGTCTGTCTGTCTGTCTGTCTGTCTGTCTGTCTGTCTGTCTGTCTGTCTGTCTGTCTGTCTGTCTGTCTGTCTGTCTGTCTGTCTGTCTGTCTGTCTGTCTGTCTGTCTGTCTGTCTGTCTGTCTGTCTGTCTGTCTGTCTGTCTGTCTGTCTGTCTGTCTGTCTGTCTGTCTGTCTGTCTGTCTGTCTGTCTGTCTGTCTGTCTGTCTGTCTGTCTGTCTGTCTGTCTGTCTGTCTGTCTGTCTGTCTGTCTGTCTGTCTGTCTGTCTGTCTGTCTGTCTGTCTGTCTGTCTGTCTGTCTGTCTGTCTGTCTGTCTGTCTGTCTGTCTGTCTGTCTGTCTGTCTGTCTGTCTGTCTGTCTGTCTGTCTGTCTGTCTGTCTGTCTGTCTGTCTGTCTGTCTGTCTGTCTGTCTGTCTGTCTGTCTGTCTGTCTGTCTGTCTGTCTGTCTGTCTGTCTGTCTGTCTGTCTGTCTGTCTGTCTGTCTGTCTGTCTGTCTGTCTGTCTGTCTGTCTGTCTGTCTGTCTGTCTGTCTGTCTGTCTGTCTGTCTGTCTGTCTGTCTGTCTGTCTGTCTGTCTGTCTGTCTGTCTGTCTGTCTGTCTGTCTGTCTGTCTGTCTGTCTGTCTGTCTGTCTGTCTGTCTGTCTGTCTGTCTGTCTGTCTGTCTGTCTGTCTGTCTGTCTGTCTGTCTGTCTGTCTGTCTGTCTGTCTG